GAAAAAAAGAAATTTTCGTCAGCGTCAATACTTAATTGGATATTTCCTTCTATACTTTTTAGCACGTAGCTATTTATTATTAGCATTATTCTTCCGACGTCTGATTTATTTTTAATTATAGGAAATGCGTTTTTCTAAGGTACATAAACTTTTGGGATTGACTGTATAGCCAATACATCCTTAAGGGCTCGTATAATGTTAATGAAAATTGATTAATTTCATATAAACAATCAGGCATCTCTTGCCCACCGACCTTAATTTTTTAAGAGGATCTAAGGGGGGCGTACCTGCCGGAGAAACGTGCAATTAGCAATGAAAAAAACGGTAATATGCGCCGGCACTCATGTCATACGAGCAACGAGATCGGTCTCGAGCGATCTGTTCAACTTTCGCTCCCTATATGGACTAGAACCCCGACGTAGACGTTTCTCATCTCTCTTTTTATCACTCTCCTTCCTCCTACTCCTCCCTCAATTTTTACTTATCTATTTGAAACGTCAACTTCCGAAAGTTCACTCTGTACACCGTTCAATCCCACATCGAACGTGCATGCAATGTTCCTCTCAATCGAAACAGCAAACAATTATCTATTTCAAACGATTCTTAATAATTTACCCTGTCAGTACACTACATTATATACAATATTTATACCTCATTTTCCCCAAAATCATACATTTTCACAAAAGAAAACGCTATTTTTCGGAAGCTGTACACGATAGAGAACTTCTGCTTTCGAAATTGCTTTTCACATGAGAAACTTTATGAGAATGACGTAGTGGACATTGCAAAAAGATTTGGTGTTGTACAGTGTAATGAAAAAGCGACCTCGAGGTGGGCGTAAGAGTCACGGAAATATCGGTAATCGGGTCGAGGTTGGGTTCACCTCCCGTTGGCAGGGTATAAACCTTTTGGACTTTAAGCTCTGAGTTTCTCCTTTGCTCCTCGTTGACACTGCCAGCACGATTTATCCACGTCCGTGCACGCACTCGGCTTACGTGTTATTGTAGTCAGCAATAAAAATTGCGTTCGGTAACGCAAGATTCCGATAAGCACAACGTCGTACGAGCAATTTAAAGCTGTAGCATATCACCTTACTATGTCTTATCAATTATGCAGCGCATAAATTACTGTTTAACTGGAATACAGTCATGAGTATTTACGTGCTATTTGCAAGTCCTATGGCAAACGATTTTCACTTCCACGCCTTGTCCTTTAAATTAATTACTGTTGTTCGCAGCCTGACTACTACAGGGACGCAGCCCACTTCCGGCTGGTCGGCGAAGGACCTCAATACCGATTGGAAATACCGTACGCGAAACTCGACTTTACGGGAACGTACTCCGTGATTGCGCGCAACTGCCATGGGGAGGCCAAAGCCGTGATATCTTTGCAGATCTATGCGAAGGGTAATAAATAATAATAAATGATGCACTGAATGTCCCAATTTTTGTTCATGTCACAATTTATACTCATTGTTTTTTTTATAATTGCAAGACTAATAACAGCAAGACTGATAACAACAAATACCTAAAATTCAATTTTAGAATTTTTCCTCAATCATCCACTAAGGGGGTGAAAATGTCTAAAATATATATATATTTATAAAATCCTCAATATCTTTGAATTTCCATTACTTGTAAATGTATAATGCAACATAAAATAAAAGTACGGTTGACAATTTGTCTAAAACTGCTACACTTTCAGGTCAAGGCAAAGAGGAGAAGATGAAGAAATCGGGGGTCACGCACGGGTAAGTGGCCTCAAGATTCCAACTAAGATAAGTTTCGCTGACGCGACGCGTAATGAGCGAGCGTTTTGCGAAACAGCGATCGATTTGTTTTTGATCGACACATCTAAATGATATTTTGATTGATAGGAACGTGCTAACTTTGCCGGTGATTACGAGAGACCTACGGGACCTCAGATGTTGCGATGGCGATGCCGTTACCCTTGAGTGTCAAGTACACGCCACGCCGGAGCCGCCTTTGGTGCGCTGGGAACGTGGAGGGAAGGTAGACACAATTTCATATTATTACTTTTATTGAGTCATTGAAAGTTCTTGCTCTTGATATTTGAAATAAGATATTATTTCATTCACATTATTATTTTCATTTTATTGTAAAATTCTTTTCTGGAGCCATCCCTGTTTTCTGTCAGTCTTCTTATAAATCGACGAATTCTTTTTTTTGTACAGAGTAGAAAATCGGCCAGATCAGAATCACTGGACATTTCATCGTCCTACAGTAATTTGTCGCTCAGTTATGACTTTCCGAACTTAGGCAATTTTCAATGCAAATGTCGTGATTCCATAATTTTTTAGAGTAGTGTGTATTATCACTATTTTATCATGTTCGCAGATTCTGCAAATGGGTGGCGATTTCTCCTCGGAGTTCGATGAAGAGACCGCGCGTTTAATAATCCAGCACGTCTACCCGGAGGACGAGGGCGAATATACCTGCGTCGCTTACAACGACCTCGGCAAAGCATTCACGTCGGCGTGTCTAATAGTAGATGGTAATTATCCCATATAAATTATGACCGCATAACAGAGCAACGTGTAAACATCGATAACTTACCAGAAACCTTCGAATGCTATTCGTTCTGACCCGTATATTTCCAGCGCAATTGGATTGAAGGATTGATACGCGATAATGAATTATTTTCTAATAGAAAATGTGAAGCGGTATTTTAATTAAAATCGTTTTAGTGCCCGAGGGAAAGGAAAACGTTTTGAGTCAACGATTGACAAGACCTCCAGGACTTCTGTCGGGTGGATCGACGCCGAGATCGACGCCGCGTTCGACGCCTATTAGAAGCTTGTCTCCAACAGTTCCACGTAAATAAAAAAAATAAATAAAATTTAACTCTTTATTTTAAATTTTATAAGACATCTGATACGCAAATCTGTTGTATGATACAAATTATTTTTGAGGAGTAAAGGAAACATCAATTTAAATATCATTGTTTCCAATTGACATCAGGAATGTTTGCACACAAATTCACTGACTATATTTCACCACAATTTTTATAAAAATGAGCATATTGAAAATTTGAACCAAGGAAATTTATGTTTGCGCAGATGGACGGGAATTGAGGTCTCCTCAGCTTCTTCCGCGAAGTAGGTCGACGTCGAGGAGAGCGAAGATCAGTCCACCAAAGTTTTACGCGGTTCCGCATAACCGGGTGGCCGAAGAAGGTGAAACTGTACGATTTCAGTGCGCCGTAGCTGGCCACCCGACGCCTTGGGTGAAATGGGATAAAAATGGCACGGTTGTCACGCCTACAGCCAGGATCTCCGTAAAGGAAAGGGACGACGTGAAGATACTGGAGATCGTTGAAGTCACTCTGGAAGATGCGGGTCTGTACAGAGTAATCGTGGAAAATGATTACGGCCGCATCGAAGCCAGCGCTCGTCTTGAAGTGATAAGTACGTAAATTTCCTTATGAGCACATTGTGTAATATATTTTTCATTTATATACATATGTATATACTTATATATATACATGTATATACATATATATAATATGTCACACACATACATGGAGAACTCGACAAACTATATTTTCAATCCGCTTTGTAGGCGACGAAAGATGGTCTTTTTTATGCCCTTTTTATAAGAAATACGGTGTGCGACACGGGCCGAATGGACCTTTCCAGGCTCGGATGATGTTCATCTCGGAAAGACCCATTTTCGGCCCTTGGTGCACAATTAAAGTACTATTCTCGTTCCTTTATGATGATACAAGTATTTTCTGTTATTTCTAATTTTTATCGTCTCTTTACATACATGCGTCCGGGTATATAATATGAAGTATTTCTTTTAAATTATTCAATTAAATATAAATAACAATTTTTACTAGTTAATGCAGTAGATTTAATGATTTGAGAATTTACTTATGGTTTGATGAAAAGATCGCCAATTGCTTGGCCCGGTGTCACGAACTGTTCGAACAAAAAGTGCATCGCCCAGGACATATCCATCCTTCAGTCGAAGTCTGCTAGACATAACTAGCAGAGTGAATGGAAGGCTCTACCTCGACTGCAGCATCCGAGGAACACCAAGTCCAACACCAACGTGGTTCAGGTAGAATTGAGGAAATATTATTTATTTATTTTTATTATTATTGTTGTTATTATTATTACTAATATTTTATAGAAATGGACGGCCATTGGAACGATCGGACCGGATAAAACGGTACTTCGACGGAAAGACCGCGAAAGTTGAAGTTTCAGAAGTGAAAGCGAGCGATGCGGGTGAGTACACCTGCGTGGCAACGAACGTCCTTGGTTCCACGAAGAATACCTGCCAGGTAAATCCAATCATATGTTAATGAGACACATATCCGGTTATCTGTTATAATAATCTCTTTTCTATTCTCCACTTCTGCTCTTTTATTGTATTCGTTGCTCCATTTATCACAGGTGACAGTTCTTGATCCTTATAATCCATCAACCTGCGACAAGGACCCACCGAAATTTTTGCAAACGCTTCCGGAAGATTCAATCGTAATGGAAGGTCATTGTTACGAACTTCAGGCGAGATTAACAGGTATAAATATAATAAATATTCCTTTTTTATTAATTATTTATCGATTTTGTATTAAAGAGCACGACTAAATGTTGTACGAAAAATATTGATTCATTTTCAGGTACACCACCGTTCTCGGTAATTTGGTTAAAGGACGGACGTGAGATACCGGACGACGATCAGTACAGGTACGTGATATACGGCGACGGAGGGGTGGCTCTGAGATTTTCCATCGTCTGCCCACAAGACGCCGGCGAGTACACTTGCCTCGCCCGCAACAACTTCGGCGAAGCAGCCTGCACCGGTCTATTCGCTGTTCAAGGTACACCTCCATTTAAAAAATTAAATTTCTCGAATACAGTCTCTTTATCAGAGATGTGTGTAGAATCCGATACTGTGACATGTCAAACTAAAGAATCGCATAGTGGATATCACAAGAAATGAAAAAAGTTTTATTTGTTGAATTGTTTTGTTATCTGTGAAATATGATTATATTGTATAGATCCACAGAGTTATGAATAGAAGGTTTCGAGATGTTAAATTTATTTTATGCAGATTACAAAGGTGTCCAGAAATTAGCGCCACAGTTCACGAAGACTCCAGTATCAGTCGTTGTATCCAAAGGTGAGACTGCATGCTTCTGTGCCAGAGTGCAATGCGGTAAACCAATGGAGATCACGTGGACGATTAATGGGAAAGATGTCAGAGAAAATTCAAGGTGCAAGGTGCGTATATCATTAGTCAAAGTATCTAATCTTATCCTATCATTCAAAATTTTTATTGCTTTCGACATTTTTCAAATATTCCACCTATGGCAGTCGCGATATGTAATTTCTTAACATCCTGTACATTTATTTAGAATACATTTTTTAAACTGATACCATGAATGTCTTATTTTGCATAAAAATCCGCAGTCTACTGACGTCTTTCTTACTTATGAAGTAAAATATATAGAATTTGTCAATAAAGACAATAAATAATAAAGTATATTGAATTTGTTTGCTACACAGGTTGAAAAAGACGACAGTGTTAGTGTTCTTAGGATACAAGACGTTCAGCCGCGAGACGTGGGCGAGATTCGGTGCACAGCATCGGTCGTTGGCAAGGGGCCATCGATCTGCACTACAGCACAATTACAAATGAATCGTCCAACGCAGAATCCCGATGATCCACAACAAGATTCAACTGAAATTCGTAGCGAGAAGCCACCAAGGTCTGACTGCAGTCGTAACAATTCCCTGCGTAGAGCAAGAGACGTGCCACTATCGCCTCGAAGTCAGAGATACGAATCTAATAAAATAGACAGAATTAGATCGTCTTCACTACCACGAAGAACAGGTCCAGCTTCTGTGTCTCCCGTGCCTGTGAGAAAGAACTATCCTCAGAGTCCGTTGCTAGATACAAGGAAGCCGGGAAGAAAAATCTCTAGACCTAAGAAAGTAGAACGCAAACCGACTCAACAGGTGTACATGAAATTGAGTGATCAAGGAATTTCATCCTCGGACGAGGAGACAAAACGTGTCCCAAAGAAGAAATCCGTGGAAGATAATGAAACGAAGGATACGTCAAGTTCAGACGTTCGTAAGACTGGTAATGATATGAAAACGGAAAGTTCTAATAAGCACGACGACACGCCGATAATATCCGCGGAATGCGTGCCGGAAGTGACCGAAGAAGCACCGAAGACGTGCGAGCAGGTCGTGACGAAAGAGGAGAAAGTGAACGCGTCGGAGGAGGAATTCGTGGCTGCTAGTATAGCGAAGGTGCCGAATGACGTGACGGTTTTCCGTGGAAACAGAGTGGTCCTCAGGGTCACGTATCGAGGCCATCCGGAACCACGTGTCAAGTGGCTACGAGCGGTGAGCATAATATCGCTTGTATAATATTGCCTCTACCCCATCGATCAAAACGTCAAATTTTGTTTAAACGTAGTAGGTATGTAGTTCGATTCAGAGAAAAAACACGACCAGTTTTGTTCTGACTCTATTAAAGACGCTACTGTATCGGACAAAGCAGCTCTTATTTGCTTGCTTCCGTTGCATCAATAAAGTCGGAAATAGAGATAACTGTTAATAAGTTCAAATAAAAACGTGCAATCTATTATAATGGAATATAATTAAATACAATGAGGGCGAAGATATTTATGAATGGAATGAAGGAATTTATTTATGATTATGATAAGAAATAGTTGATTCATACTGAGTTATACTTCCTGGTTAAGTGAAATAGATAATTAAATGACAAACTTATGTTTGCTTGAGTTTTCCATAGTCACTGATATAATCGTTAACCAGCACTTATCAGTCATTTGCATAGATACATACACACATACGTACGTCAGGCAGTTTCAATTATTTACGTCGAGTTTAACCCATTGACAGTTCGTTCCACGTATTATACGTTCGCGACAGTGAGATTCAGAATGTACAATCGAACGATCTTAATAAATACGTTTTCTATAATCATCTGAAAATATGCGAGCATATTTCTGATTCTGTTTATCGATGCTACTAGTTCTTAATGGAGGGATTTTTTTTTTTTTAATTAAAGGGCCGGGAATTAAAACCAGATAAAAAGACTGCGATAACGTATGGCGGTGGCGTGTCTTGCCTAATATCGGACGATGTGGTCGCTGATAACGCAGGAAAGTACGAAGTCTCCGTGGAAAATGAATTCGGGAAGGACCGACGATTTTTCAGCGTCGCCGTTGAAGGTACAGCAAACATGAAAAACAGACTGTGTACTCTTAAATCATGTTCAAACGGTTCTATATATACGGTAATCGTGTTGACATTACATAAGTGGCTTGAGTGCGAATGGAACAATAGTTGGAACAATCTGCAGAGATAGAACGTTTGAAAATGATTCATATTTACAGAGCTTTAAAATGCTCTTATGTCACGCTATTGAACTACCGATAGCGTGCATTGTAATAAGCATTTATAGTGAGTCATATTAATATTCGAACGGATTTCAGAGCTCAATAACTTTTTTAATATCGGACTAAAAATTTTCGGAGTATTCAAATTTTTATTGGTATATAATATGAAGCACATGTTTCTTATTTAGAACACGTCTAATTTTTTTGTAGAAAATGTGTAGCCAGAACAGCTGTAATCGGAAACGTAATTGAATGTACGTAACATTACACGAGTTTCTTGAAAATGAAAGTAATTCTCTGTTGTTCTCTCGACTTTCGTTTTTAAATTTGCATCGATTCCGGTCTCGTTCCGCAAAACGCAATTTAGAGCGACACGAGCATCGTTCCACGTGCGTAAGCGCGTGTCACACGGTCCAGTTCCTCTTCTTATGTACAAGGCAGACAACAGTCTCACGTGACGCGTCGCGCAATAATTCCTCCTTCCTTCGTTTCTTCCTCAATCCCCCACCGACCGTTTACGCGCCTTTTCTTTTCTCTTCATCCTCTTTCCGCGGGTTCGCTGTAGAACGAGCCAGTGTTGAAGAAGTGCGTGCGCCGTGGCTGACGGCTTCCGCGAGTCGATATCTTGTCTAGAATGATTCGTCGCTACGAAACGTCGCATCAATTATCGCGTCGCGTCCTAATTTAACGTCGTTTCAGCTGTCGAAGTTTATTCTGTGTTGTTCCAGTGATTGCACAAAGGAAAACAATAGAATGGGTACTAAAGAAATATACTTACGGTGTTCATTTATAGCCAGGAGAAATAATTTAAAAGTTGAAATGATTATTTTAATTAGTCATCGTTTAGCATAGTGCAAGATTTTCCTCAATTCATGTCAAAGTTCAATTCGCATTGCCCAACTTATTAAAAATCGGAAGATAATAAAATGAATAACAAAGATGTAATTTAATTAGTCATCGTTTCGCACGGTGTTTAAAATAATCTCCTCAGTTCTTGTGAAACCGTTCGGTAATAAGTTTCTATGCATAACACAACATACGTGTTTCATTTATCGCGTCGATTTATAAGTTTAACGTTTGAACGCTCGGCGCGATCGACTATTGAAAAAGTGCTTCTGTTCTATGCTATTGAAGATGTTTATCATTTTAAATGGGTCGTTAAACGTAACGTCCTTGTTTCCACTCGTCGGCGGTGGAAAAAGCGATCGCTCGTTTTCGACACAAACGTCCTAACGAAAAAACATGTGCTCGAATTGTTAAACTTTTATTGTCACAATTTTCTTCGACGCTGAAATGTTGAATCATTCATTAAAATCATTTATAGATATTTTAATTTTAACTCAAGAAAGATGAGTACATTAGAAATATAGGCACTTCGTTTAGTCTGGACTTGAATTGAATTCCCGAGGTTTTTTAGGACCCCCTGACCCACCAGCTAGCGTTCCAATCATATGCTGTTCAACGGGTACAGCGACCATCAACTGGCGGTCCTCTCCTTACGATGGCGGCTGTACGGTTACCGGTTACACGGTCGAAATGAACCGCGCAGGCGAAAACACTTGGACGACGATCGCTGAATCCTGCCTTTCGTTGAGTCTCACGGTGCCGGTTGGTGGAACGGAGACCGTGACACCCGGCGAGAGATATCGGTTTCGTGTGCGAGCTGAAAATATCCACGGCGTCAGTGAACCGGGGGACGAATCTCAATTTGTTAGAATACCAAAAGAAGGGGAGACGTGTCTGCTAGACGACGAAGAAGGTAAATGCCCAGAAAAACTGCAGTACGCAATAGTATGGAAACGATTGAGCCGTTTATTTTAGAAATGGCCAAAGTCCATTGATTTTTAAATTAAGATATTTAAAGCCTTGAGTTTTAATTAGTTTAAAAATAAGATGGTATGTGGTATGATAACATGGTAATATAATGTTTCTGTCTTTATTTACGAACCCAATTAGCATTATAAACACTGTTTAAAAAGTAATATGTTTTCGATGGCTGTAAATTGGACTTAAGAGACCACTTTCAAAATGAATAAACTTTTCTAATTCTTGAACAAACATAAGTCCATAGGAAAAATAAATTTCGTTTGAAATAAAAAGCAATATGTATAATTTTATATTATAAATTTAAGAAATACCCAACTTTTATTTATTATTAAAGAAGTGTTACAAAAAAATGAATCTCCAACTTGATATTACGTGAAAACAATTTTCAAGTAATAAAATGAAATTACTCGTTAGCTATTAGGTTTAGGGCTAGTAACGGTCAATACTTTTTTTACTTATAATTCGATACTCTACCATATTTTAATATAAAAAATATACTATTCTGTTTAAAAAAACGAAGTTGACCTTCAAATATCCGAAACGCCTCTACCTACAAAAAAATTAACGCACTATATAGTGTACTCTTTTAAACTAAGTAACTTTCGTATATGTATAACATTCTTTTGTGCAACGCATATTTTGGAAGTCAACGGTGCACACGTTGCGTAGACCACACTGTATAAGAATGCTACATTTCAAATATCGATGCGAATACTTCAAACGTTTTTTAGATATTTGCTAACATATAAACAAATGCTTAAATATATAATAGTAAGAATTGTAACATGAATTTTTTGTTCACAGAATTTGCACCACCGTTCGAAGCTCGAATAGTAGAAATGGAGGATGGGCATTTGTTCAACGATCGGTACGAGATACTGGAGGAACTGGGTAAGGGTCGATACGGAACCGTAAGGAGGGTCATCGAAAAGTCATCAAACACGAGCTTCGCGGCGAAGTTCGTGCGGACTATAAAATCGAAGGATCGGGAGCAGGTTCGAGAAGAAATCAGGATCATGAATATGCTGCGGCACCCGAAGCTTCTTCTTCTGGCGGCAGCTTTCGAGAGCCCTCGAGAGATTGTGATGGTCACTGAATAGTAAGATTTTATACAGAATTGTATGAAGCATTAAAAGAACAAACAAAGACATAAGGTTGTTTTATATGATACACTTTATTTAGCATTTCTGGTGGCGAGCTGTTTGAAAGGGTTGTCGCCGACGATTTTACCCTAACTGAGAGAGACAGCATTCTCTTTATGAGGCAGATTTGCGAAGGCGTCGAGTACATGCACAAGAACAACGTAGTACATTTAGATTTAAAAGTAAGAAGATGATTATTTCGTTCATTATCACTATAATTGCAGATATTATACATTTATAGATATACATGTACGTACATTGCTATTCACTCGAATAGCCTCGAACAACCCACATCACTTTTTCGTAAAAAAATTGTATGTCATATGAATA